TCTCATGCGTCCGGAGCTCCTTCTGGAGACAGGTCTGTTTACACAGTTGTAAAAAGTGCTTATGAAACTATTCAGCAGACCAGAAATTGGTCAGACCACATTGGTTCTGCATCAAGCCCCTGGTGCTTGCAGGCCAGCAGGAAGTGTGTCCTGGCTCACCCAATGAGAGCTGGGTGGCCTCTAAACAGCATCTAAATTCCTTGTTCTTTCTGGACAACAGTGGGATCCGACAGGAGCCTGTGGTGTGTGTCAGTGTCACACACCAGACTCCTGGCTAGCACAAAAATTAGTAAGAGGCAGTTGAACATGAGCAGAATCTGTGGATTTTAGGAACTTCCAGATACTGCAGCTATCTTTATCTTCTTTATCTACAGTAGTTGTGGGGGAAGATTAGTATTTTTCCCTCCACAGAGGGAGAATGAATACAGACGCTGGTTTTTCTGATGTAGTGCCACTGAGAAGGTGACTGCTGATTTGCATTATGAGCAGCAATGGGCTCTGCAAGAAGAACTGCCTGTGCTCTAGAAGAAGCATGCAGAAAGGGAAAGAGACATCAGAGCTGAGATCTAATTTTGATGGCACCTTATTAGCTCATCTGGCAACTCTCCTTCCCTCACCAAACACAGGCACGGTGCAACTCCTGGCGTCAGCATGGAGCAGAGCATTAGGTGTCCAGACATTTACCATGTGCATTTCAACTTAAATGGTCTGGCATGGAGCACTCACCAGCCATCAGATAATAGCACAGTTGTCTGCATAGACGTAGGGTGTGTGCATGTTTTGGCAAGAAAATGTAACTGTTTTCTTCCTGTATCATCTCAGTGACAGACGTTTGGCAAGAGGGCTTGTGCCTGCACAGATGGCAGTGTTGTGTGATTTTGCAGGGCTTCTGCTATGAGTATGGCATCAGCTGAACCAAAAACAGAAATAAATTTTCCCAAGGACCCTGCCTTACTGAAGGTAAGGAAACTCAGGTGTTGTGTGTTCACATGGCTGGCCTGCATCCCTTAAAGTGTGGTTAGAAAATAAACCCTCCCGGAAGAGGGAGACAAAAGCATTTTCGGGATCAGGGAGCAGGACTCAGATTTAGGCGCAAGGTCTCCTCCTTTATCAGTTTCTCACATACCTACAGTGGCACTGAATTTGCACAGGCAGCCTGTCAGTTACACACGTAAAAATTCAGTCTTGTGGGACTTGATCTAGAATAATTTAGTACTGATGTGTTTGTAACACAGGGAACCAGTGATTGCATGGCTCTTCTGGCTATAGGGACACATGCTCCTCCTGCTTAATGCTTTTCCAAATTCTTTCTGTCTGATAGGTCCCAGTAAGTACTCCTATGTACACTCAGTAAGGGTATAGTTTTGTTAGTATGTCCTGCTGATGCCCCAACAGTACTCCAACTACTCCATGAGGTATTCAGACATAATTTCAAATGCTTGGAGCATCATCTGGCTCCTGACAGACAATGCTGGGCAAAGAGCTTTGGGGTTTGGTATGCAGCCACTGAAGTCAGCGATGGAGGCAGGCTGGGAATACCCTTATCTTTAAACAGAGCCCATGAGCTGGTGTTGTATTGAACCAAGATCCCAGTCTTTTCAGGACTCTTCCACACTGTCCAAGAATGAAAATGATAAACTGTTTTCTTTGGGACCAGAAAAAAGCAATTTATGCCAATAAAAAACCCAAAACCAACCAACCAAACAGAAAGCCCCCAAAACCCCATAAGCAAGGATGCTGTATTTCCTGGAGGAGTTGAAAGCAGGATAATTCTTATTCCAGCCTTCTGGTGATAGAACACCCTTACAGATGGTAGCTGATACATGCTTGCCATCACAAACTGTATTTTTATTTCAGTTGTATTTTGTTAGGCTAAGACTCCTTTTCTGCAAGCATTAGAGCTGCACGCTGATTGCAGCAGCCATCGCTTTCTGAGCTCACTACACATCCAAGCCCTAGAGCAATTCATGCATTTTTTGTTGTTTATGAGGACAAGGTTGTTACAAATGGAGAGGGGAGTTTTAAGCCAGTTTCTGTCTTTTCCAGCCCTTTGGCTTTAGACAGTACATTTACTGAGGTGGCCAGCACCCCAAAGCCCACTCTCATTGCAAGTTCTTAATAATGGTTGATTAAGTCTATTAAAAAAATGAACCATTTATTTGATAGATGCAAATTTAAATGACACAAGACTTTAACAGATGACTTACTACACGGGATAAGCAAAGAAACAGTACTAGCAGACAGACAATACAGCATGAGAGTGAGGCCCCTGTGATACAGCTAGAGAAGAAATAGTATAGATTAGGATTCAATGCATCTTACCATCCAGTTTCTGCTGGGGCATACACAGGACCCTTCCTCTCAGCTTCTGGAAAAGTATCCACGGAGATGCACCCAAACATCATGAGGGAAGCCCTGCATGTTTCCAGGAAGTGTAGGAGGCTTCTGTTTCCGTGGAAATTTGTGTAGCTTATATATTGTAAAGCAGTGTCTTTTGGTCAATGACATTTAATTTTTATCTCTCTCTACATCTGCTCTCCAGACCAAGATGTTTATTCTCAGCTGGGGGTCTCAGTGCTCTTGGCCAGAGGTGACTCCCTGCCAGGCATCTGGCCTGACCTGGGTTATCTCATCCCTGTGCACCAGATGAGGCGTTGACACAAAGGTGTGTAGTGGGAAGCAAAGGAAAAACTGATACAGACTTTATTGTGCATGGCTGTGCATGTGCTGTGGAACATTCCTGAATGACCACCCATGTACCCTGCTCTCAGTTTCCTTCAGGAGTGAGGGGCACTAATTAGAAGCTGTTACTGAAGGCTATCAAGTGTCAGAGCTCAGCTCAAACCAGACACAGCACTTTTGAAAATCTGGAATATGGAAAAAGTGGGAACTAGGACTTAATTTCCTAGCACATGATAAACCTTGCCTTGGGAAGCCAGAAGCAATCTTTGTGTCCTGTTGCAGTTCAATAAATTGCCTCAGTGACACTGTGATTCAAGAAACAACTTTTCAGGCCAAGGCCTCTCATAAGTTAATTAAGTAGCATTAATTGCAGTGTGAGAATATCAGTGAGGCTGGAACTGTTACATCTTTCCGGACAACTGGTTTTGTATATTTAGGATCTTGATTTTAGCAAGTTGTTTCCCAAAATGCTCTGGGTGCTCTCAGAAGTAGTCCTTGGACACACTACTGTGTGCCAGTAACTCACAACTCATAAGATGGCAAGCAGTTTGTGGGGAAATGTGGGACTGAATGTTACTGATCCATGGACTGGGCAGAGAAACACCCTGGGAAGTACAAAACTCTATGGAGAGTGGGTAGGGGGCAAGCAGTGCCTGAGCAGTGGCTGCGAGAGGGGTGTAGCAAGACCCAAGGGCACAAGAGGGGGCAAATCTTTGTCAGAGAGACTGCTGGTGAGAGCAGCTCATCATTTCTGTGAGCACCCTGGCCTCTCTTAGCAGACCTGTCCACCTAATAACTCACCAAGCTCATAGCTCATCAAGTGGCTGCCAGGCTGCCACACACAGAGGAGGAACATTTGCCATGACCAAAGGTTTTAAACACAGCTTAGTTTAGGAAAAATGCTTGCAGCCTACCTTTCAGATGGAAGGAAGTCCCGGTTTTGTCCACTGGCTAGTTCCAGTGTGCGGAAGAGGCGGGTCCCTTCAGTTCATGAGACTTCTATCCCTTGACAGACTTGCACAGCAATGTGCATTTATCACATGTGCCCCCATGTGTAGCTTTTTTCCAGCAATTTTTCTTGGAATCTTCAGGACGAGACCCTGGGATGTCAGGGATGTGCACACCACAGACTGAGGACTCCTGTTACAGAAGAGTCCAGAGCTCAGAGGATTAGACAATGGGCCTGCACTGTTAGCCTGGTAGGGCTCATCTGTTTCTATTTCCAGCTTGATTTTCTTGCAGTGGGTCCTTCAGCTGGGTTTATGCAGTTCCCTTACTTTTGATATATTATATAAACAGCAAAATCTGCAACAATATAAACTTATTTTTAAAATCACATCTTCCCAGTGTGCAGCATTACACCTCTGGGACTGCAGTAACAGTCAGCAGTGCCAAAAATATCAAAGGTTAGAAGGAGAAATCCAGCATCTCCCTCCCACTGATCTTGAATGTACCACCTTTCCCCTTTTCCTGCCACACTGAGACAGTCACTGTGGGGATCACAGTCCATGGATGTTCAGAGCAACTTTTCACTGATGAATTCACTGGGCTGCAAAATCCCATTAGTTTCAGCCCTAAAAAAAGTAGACTTTGAAGCATAGTGGATATAATAAAATTATAGCAGTATCGAAAAGATGCATTACCCTTTCAAAAAGGATATTAAGTGACTGAACATCTATGAAAAAATTCTCCATCAATCCTCTGCTTTTAGTTCCTGCCTATAGGGCTGAAGCTCTCCATTTATGAAATGCACACTGCTTGTCTTCATTTAACTCATGGTATTCATCCCAATGCACCTGCTTTTTGTCCACTGAAGCAACAGGATCTTGTTTTGTTGTGCCTAATAGGGAGAAGAAAGTGTGTATGGGTGGGAAATGCTACTTGACTAGCATTGCCTGTTTGGCTTGCACAGACACCTGTGGTGGAGAGATGTGCTAGCAGCACAGTGTCAGCCAATAAAGGAATAGAGTTTTTGCTGGTGCCAGCGCCAATTAAAAAAGGAAAAATCTTTGCCTTTGCCATCTTCCTACGGTTTCTACAGCAAGACAAAAGATGGTGTGTTGCTCCCTCTATTACTGGCTCTGTGTGGCAATACATTTTTAGCTTTACAGCAACACCAGGGTAACTCATGTTGGTGCCTCTGAGTTTTCAGCACATAAACTCATCAGAAAGCATCAGGGAAAATCATCTTTCTTAAATTCTTCATATTTTGTGAAAAACACGTAAATTCCTACTACTCAGCAATGGTGGCAGAGTGTCACCAGGACAAGCTATTTTTATTCCCTTTCTTTATTTGTTTTCTATCATATTCAACTGAGCTCAACAATTTAATTCTGATGATGACTTCAAGTACTTGTGTATCAGTGCCGTGAGCCCCAACACCACCAAGGCTATCCCTGTGCTCTCAGTGTGTGGAGATACTGGTGCATGACCAAAGGACCCAGAGATTACATGGACATCACTAAGGCCAGGAAACTTTGCAGAATACTGTTTTTTTCAGTGCCGGGAGGCAGTCCTTCTGGTGAAATGAAGTTATAAAGTTTAAAAGAAAAGGATTTTCAGCCTTCTTTATGTCCTTGTGGTCTCGGGGATTTTCCAAGTTTCTCTCAATAAAACTGTAACCTTTTCTAATTTATACCCTGTTTCCTTCATGGTTAAGCCCGTAGCTTTGAAACCCAGGGTGATGCTAAAGGTTTCCTTGTACCTAATGCTTGTGCACAACCTTAGTCTCATGCTCTATGCGACAAAATTTCCTGATGTTACCCTAAGGTATGGTTTCTGCTTCTAGAGCTATCCAGTGTAACCTCAGGCATTTGAGAACTTTTCTCCAAAAACAAGCTCCTAGAAACATCAAAGACATCACCCCCCAAAAAAAGGACTTGGCTAAGATCCAAAGTATAAAAACCCTGCTCACATTTTTTTTTATACTAAATTTCTCTGTTAGGTTTATCTAAGATATTGGCAGGCAAAAGCAGCCAGACTGGCAGTCTGATTGCAATACTGACATCTCATGGCTAAAAGAAGAAGTTGCTACTGCTTCTTATTTTTCTCCTCTCACTCCTCCTTCACCTTCTTCTCCTTCTTCACCTGAAAAGTATCCATTTCCATAAGTACCACATTGCTGTGAAAGTACAGAGTATTACACCCAAGTGGTAGGTCACACACATTTGCACAGTCACACTTCAGTGTGACTGGAACCTTCATTCACTTCAAAAAAAGCCAGGAATCTGGCTCCTTTCTTCTGAATCTGGATTTCTACAGCTGGTGCAAAAGTGGCACCAGCAAGTGAAATGCATATGTTTGAACACCCCTTACACCACAGCGTTTCATTGCAGCCTCTTCCAAAAATTCTAAGGTTGCCAAGAAACAAATTTCTGGGGAAGCATGGAAGCTGCTGCAGTGTTCTTCACAGAGAGCACAGAGAAGCCCTAAATGTGTTTTTCCCACCTGTAGGGCACTTCCTTTCTGAAAATGCTTTGAAATACCTTTCCTCTTCTTCTTATTTCAGATCCCAGCAGTGAAGGTGAGTGAGCCCATGGAGGACTTCTGCATCACCATGGAGAAAACAAATGGGTCTGACTTTGTAGCCACACCATTCTGCACTACACATCGTGGCTTGGGTCAGATCTTCAGGAATGCCGGTGGCAACTTCCTCCACCACCAGCAGCACCTTCAGCTCTTCCACAAGAAAGCTGAAGAATAAGCCTAAAGTCTTGAGCAAGGCTGGCATGTCTCACAGTGACATGCTCTCACAGTGTCTACTTCCTTGTTGATGAGGAAGAGGTGTGGAGGATAGGATGCCTGGGAGGTGACAGCCCCACAGCCCTGCTCTCCAAGGGGGAAATACTGCAGCCAGTACCTGAACATGCAAACCTTGCAGGAGAAGGCAGACATAGAGTCTGAAGACATTGAATTGCTCAGAGACTCTCAGAACAGGTTATTTTTTGCCAGAATGGTGGCAGGGCAGAACACAGACTGTTATGGCCAGATCTCCCATAAGCACAAGCTCTGCCTGCAGCGCCTTCTCTACAAGTACATGTGCACACAAGGGCCCTGACACCAAGGGAGCCAAGTCACCCCTCTAGCTGGTGGTATGGCAGCAGGTCAGAGGCATGAGGAATGTCTGGTGCAAGGAGCCAAGGGTGGGGATCTGCTGTCTCAGAGCTGTCATCTTCAAGCTGGCGAAGAAACCTGGAGCACTGTGAAAATTTTACTTTTGTCTCCTTCACTAAAGGCTTCCAGGAAGTTTTTCCATCTTAGCATCTAAGATAGAGCAACTCTGCCCTCTGTCTGCTTTCAGTATTCAACATCCCAAGAAGTCTCTATGGTGATGTGAACAAGTTTAGCTGCTTTCAAACAAGAGAAAAAAGTGGAATGACAGGACAGGGCAGAGGAAGGCAAACCATGCTGTGGTCCCACTTTGGGGATGAATACTGCTTTTTTTCTGAAGAGCTGGGGAGCAGTGGTCTCCTTCATCACTACCAGGTCTTCCAAGGAAAGAGCTGGTGGAGAGCTTTTTCCTCACTGGAGGCTGGAAACACTTATTTGATGGGTTTTCCTCCCTAGCAAGCATAGCTAGGAGAAAGGACACTGAGTTTTGGGGACCAAGAACCCCTGAAGCTTAAGTACCTATGCTTTCAGAGCCACTGTACAAAAATTACTTTCTTGTGAATCATATCTTTTAATGGTTCACACCTTTGTGTGCTTGTTTGGCATATTGTAAATGCAGTTATTTTTCATTCTTTGATCATTTACACTAGACCTGTAGGCACTGCAATAAACTACTACTGGTTTACCAATTAATAAACAAACATATGGAATTAATTAACAAATTAATAGCAGACAAAAAAATAGCATCCCCAAAGGAAAGCATTTTTGATCAGTCATGTATAAATGGTGAGCACTTAATAAAAACCCAGCAGTTTGGGTTTTGAGAAAGGTTTTGAGATCTGACATAGATCAGAAGTCAAATTCTTGGTCTGACACCCAATTTTTCAAAAATTGGTGATTAGGTATAAAAATAATTGCCTTGAATTTCTACAGCTATGGCTTGGTCCACCTTCTCTTGAGAGGAAAACTTCATTTCAGCTGGAGTTGTGACAAGCCTTTAAGTCACAAAGAAAGACACCCTAGAAGACTTAGCACCGAGCTGGGGAGCAATATTTGATGATGCAATCAGCTTCTGTTCTAATGGAAAGATACGACTGGGTTTTTATCTACCCTATTGCAGTGCTGTGAGAGGATTGGTGAGGTTTACCATGCCCACTATACAGAAACTGATTGTTCTAGTTCTGTATAACACCTCTCCCCTGCCATGTCAGAATAAAGCAGAACACTATGGCAAAATTGTTGATCATCATCTGACTACTAATGAGAGGAAAATATTTCAACAGATATACTTGCAACTGGAATCTGTAACTCAGCTGGAATCAGTAAGATCATTACTCCTTCATCTGAGTTTAGAATTTTTTTCAATTCCAAGTCCAGTCCCTAAATGCAAAATAATTAAGGACACAATTCCCACCCATTAAGTGAATTATGAGATGCAGGAAAGCTAACACTTGCTGGTAAATAATGCATTATATGTCAGACCAGTAAGAACCCTAGCTGTGATTCAGTGTTTTGATTTGTTCTTCATGAAAATGGTCTTGGTTTTGAAAAGCTGTCATATGTATAGGGATCTGCAAAGTGTATTTTGTTACTTTCTCTAAATATTACTTATGGGGATATTTCTGAAATCAATTTGATTGTCAAAGAGAAGCCTGTAATTTTCACTATAGTGTATGCATTAGGAAATCCCATAGGTAGATCTCCTGCCACTTGAAACCAATATTGTAGGAAATAGCTGACAGAAACGAAAAACATAGATAAGAGTCAGGGAGGAGGAAGGAGACCCAGCACTGGCTTTCATTGCTGTATCAAAAACAAGCAAGAAGTCTTCAGTGACGTATCTACATGAACCTATAATGGCATATTTATAGGGAATGCACAATGCATACCGAACACACATCACAGAACTGGGAGGCAGTGAATTGCTGTCTGATGGAGATTTATGTCCTCTGAGTGAGGGAAAAGTCCTGTATAAATTCTATCTGGGTGTGAACCACTGAGAGATGAAGCCTCGAACAGTTTGGCATTATGCTTGTCCTGACCATGCATAAAAATATTCACTAGCACAGAACAGTTATTTTCCTGACACATCTTTCTCAACCTCCTTCTTTGGAACTGATCCTCTTTAGACAAACATTGAATTCACTGGTTTGGACAAAACCAACCTTAGTATCTTGAGGGTCAGGCTCTCATCTGGCCCGTGTGAAACCATGGGTCAGCTTGGGTTCCAATTGTTTTTTCACCCTTCATCCCAAGGGAAGGAGCTCCAGTCAGATTGAGAGCACAGCCTTTGCAAGCATAAATCCAGGCACTTTCCTGTGCTATGGAGGTCAGGACACATGCCAGGCCTGGACAGAGCAGCACACAGACTGCTCCTCGGTGGTAAACTCTTACCTCTGGGGTTTCTGGTTACCTTCTCAGATGGTCTGAGAAGCACCAGCACAGGGTTATACTATTTTGAAGTCCCAAGGCATCCCTTGGAAAGTGAGAACTAAAGCCTCACTGGGGTCTAATTATCATCTTGTATTTAAGGTGACATCTGCACTTCCCAGCACTGAGCTGGACTGTGAGGCTGTCTCACAGGAGCAGAGAATAAGAACTCTCCAGAGCCAAAAGGACTGAGGTGCTCCCACATGCACAGCTCAAACCCATGTTCCAAGACAGCACTGGCAACTCATCTTGCAGCCCCATGGCCCACAAAAGAAACCTTTTTCCAGTCATCACCCATCTGCTCTACCCTCTTTTTCTGACCCTTACAGCCCGGTGGCAAAAGTAAGTTTCCGGGAGGACTGTGCCAATCAATTGCCTTCCACTGGGTTGGAGCCTGAGGATGTGGCAAAATGGCACATGTGAGATGCAGGCGATCTCTGTGGGTTAAAGCAGAGGAGCCTTACAGCCCCTCGCCTTAACCTGTGCCCTTAGAGAGCTCTGGACTGAGATGGCTCAATGTGCACTCTATCAGGTGCTGCTGTTGCTTACCTAGTTTTCGCCAAAATCAGACAGCATCCCTCACTCATGTCATCAGGCTTCTGCTCAGGCTGGAATCAGCCAGCATTTCATTTGACTCAGCTTGTTACGCTCTTCACAATCTTCACTGTCACTCTTCAATAATAATAGATAGAGCTGTTTAAGTGCTGCAAAAAACCCCCAACTTCCTCATCAATGAATCCGAGCACTTCAGGGTGATGCTGCGCTATCCAATAATGTTCAGCTTTCTCAGCTGAACATACTCTGAGGGTTCCCAAAAGTAACTTTCTGATTCTAGTCTTGCTTGCATCTGTCAAAAAATGCAATTGCATGTTGTTTAGCACTGAAATAGAG